GCACGCTAGAAATATGGTCTGTGAACTGTTTTATGGAAAAAATTTATTTAAAAAAATTTCGAGTTATGACTGTTTTTGATTTATGGTACGATATACGCATACAAAGATATCGTCATCTTAGTTCATAAAGGCTCTAACCGACCATTTTTTTTTTTTATATTACAGGAGACGCAAAAAACCTTATGAAAAGAGTATCAAAAACCAGGGACCAAAAATAACTGTTATCTCGAATTTACAAATTGAAAACGTTGCCTGAATTCTGAAATTTAACGAAAACGTTGTTTCATAACAGTTAATAGATGGGGAATATTTTTTTCGTTGCTGATAAGAGTTATTTCCCAACGTTTATTTTTTACGTTGCTTGATCTTTATCTTATTCTCCATCTCCATCTTCATCAATATCCTAATCTTACAACGTTTATCAGACAAGGTAAAAAATAAACGTTGTAAAATAACTCTTATCCAGCAACGTAAAAAAATAAACGTTGGGAAATAACTCTTATCGGCAGCGGAAAAAATATTTCTCCTGCATAACAGTTATCAGGCAACGTAAAATGTAAACGTTGGGTTATAACTCTTATCGACGAAATAAAAAATATTTCTCATCTAATAACTGTTATGGAGCAACGTTTTTGCTATAAAACTTATAACTGTTATGTCCCTGTCAAAAACAGGTAGGGATTTTTAAAATGTGGCATGTAACTCCGTTCTCTTTGGTACTAACATTTTACATTTTTATCGAAATTGTATTTTAATGCATCCTACCAAAATACGTGAAAAAAACGCAGTTTCGAAAAAATTGTTGGTTAGCGCCTTTGCGAATTAAGTTAACGATATGTAAATACTAAAAGTACAATTTATACATAAATGTATACACCTTTGCCTGTACAATAATAACTGGCTTGGTTTAAATACATATTTTGCATTGACTTAATTTTCATTGCAATTTCTGTGGGGACTTTTCCATACACTTTTCATTCCATTTGTTGTTGTTGTTGCCTGTTAATACAATGCGTTGACAACAAGTGACAGAGTGCTGATAAAAACGGTAACTTTTACTAGTAAAATTTATTTTTAGTACTTAAATTTTTTTTTTAATATCGTTTTGTGTCCTTTTTTAATGTCATTGTTTCTAGAGGCTTGAAGTAGTGATGAATTACCTGGCAGTCTCCGTCAAATTGCATCTTATCGCACACTTGAAATTGGAATTATAAGCGAACTACATATGTATGTATGTATGTATGTAAACAAATATTTGTGTTATGTACTTTTAATCGTACATGTGTATAATTGCTTATCTGTACGTGTGTATAATTTACTCAACGTTGTTAAGAACATGGAAAAATAAATAAGAAAATGGAATGAAGTAAAAATGAATCCTAATGAACTTAAATAATTTGTTTCGATATCAGAAAAGATAAATTGTAGAAGTTACTCATGTTTTTTGTTTTTATTTGTTGCCAATGGGAGAGTTGAAGCGGCGAAAAGTCAGTTGAGAACAAGTTAATTAGTAATGGGAAATTTTTATTATAATACTCATGAATGAATGAATGATAGCAATCTACAACATCCATATTATTGTGCGAAAAAATAAAAGAAAAAAACATTTCAAACGAGCTCAGCACCTGGTAAAATAGATAAGTATACATACACACATTACATTACATGCACATTAGGGTGGAGCCGACATCAATAAGTAAATGTTTGTTTCGAAATTCTAATAGCGGGGGATCGTCGCTTTTGCACGTCAATAGAATACCCCTCAATTATTATTTTTAAATCGGTTAATGCTTCTGCCCACCCGTTTTGATTGAAATTTTGAGATTTTAGTTAATTCTAAATAAGTAACGTAATTTATCAAAATTATTTTAAGTAGGTACGCAGTTTTGTAGGCCATTAAGTTTAGCATAGTAAAGTTCAAGTTTAATGTGGCTACGAATTACGGCGAATTTTTTTAATTTTTTTTTTTAAGCATTTTATTCTTTACAAAGTATGCACGACAAAGTTTTATATGGAGAAAATGAGATAAAAATCCTAAAAATTACTCTGATATTTCTAAAAATAATTTTAATAAATTGCGTTACTTTTTTTGGAATTTACAAAAATCTTAAAATCTTTTCAAAAAGGCAAGGCTAAAAGTATTGATCGATCTAAAAAATTCGATTTCGAATTGAAATTTTTTTATTTACGCTCCACCCTAATTTACATACATCTGTGCATGAGACCGTATCACCCAACAAACAAATAAAACACCTGAATCTAACGTGTTTTTTCAAGGTAATTTCGAAAGTTTATTTCTGTTTTTGGGCGAACCTAGGTGTCGCCTGTTTACATTATTGGGTGACCCCAACATTGGACAAAAAAAAAATTCTTTAAAGTATTAAAATGTAATCGAAATATTTCCCTTGCAACAGTTCAATACTTTTGGGTGAGCTTTAACTATTGACATTAGGGTGGTACGTTAAGGTGGTAAGAATTGATATCTGTGGAGTAAGTACTGGAACGAAAAGATCGATTTATCATACTTTAAGATACGACTGTAAATGCCGAACATATTACGAAAAATGTAAAAAAGTCACCCCCTACGTTTTGGCAAAAAATTTTTTTTTGCAAATTACCTTGCAAAAATACTTTAGATTCGAAAGTGTACGGCACATTTTTTTACTGATGCGCTCTAATGTACATACATACATGCAGACATATGAATATGTATTGTAATAAATATATTTACTATAGTATACAATTGTATTCAATACTTAAACTCCTACACACATATGTATGCAGGTACATACATATTTACATTTCAACACAATATACAGTTATAAGCCTATAAAGACGACTTGCACATAATAGCCCAAGTAAATTGTTTGCAAATTGCATTATTATACGATACATTACGGCTATCTTCCACTTGAATTGTTTGAACGGTGGGCAAAAGCAGCTTTTTGCTTGAAAAACTGCGACTCCTCTTAATTTATTTTTGCTCAGTGCGGTGCGGCTCTTTTTATTATTTTTTCATTGAAAATATTCCGAACATCGAAAGGCAGCACTTGAATACTCAGACGAAGCCAAATACCTTGGTATATTTAACTCTTGATAAGAGGCTGAATTGAAACTCTCACTTAGGGAAAACTTTTAGGAAAGTCACATCTGTAGTTTGTTGTACAAAAACATTGAAAAGAACTGCCAGTTAAATAAACTTCAAGCCTTGGCTTTGCTCTTGAGTCGTGTCCAGAACGGACTCCGTCGCTGCATATTTTTGTTCAAGCAGCGATACTCTCAAGGGAATTGCAACTGCGAATATCTGATGGTGCTCTGCGTAAGAGCAAGCATCGGACAGGTAGTTTAGACAAATTCGTGGGGCATGAATGATGATCGCTTTCTGACTTTATGCTATAAAATCCGCTTTGGTAGAAAATTGAAGACAAAAATGCCAGAAAAGAAGCATGGGTAAGTTGGCGCTGTCACTTTAATCGCCGATGTATGCTGGTGCATAGATGGGTCAAGGACCAGTCATGAAACTTCTAATTGCAATTGCAAGTTGGCCTATAGTTTTTCCCATATGATACCTTGATGTTTCCTGGTTTGGTGTTAAATAGCAGCTCATTAATATGAGTTCTATGCAGCGGACAAAATCTAGGCTACTTATTACGCTTTCGATGGGCTGCCCGGTATTATCCACAGTCTTCCTGTACCGGTACTATGTATTATCAAATGAAATGCCGATGTTTTTCTGCTCATATTGTTCATTAATTATTACTGCATCGGAACTTTTTCCGCGTGATTTGCCAGAGCTAATCTATGGCACCGGCGAGTTTACCCATTCGCTTGCAACTCTGCTGGGCGGAGTCGTTTTTGCCGAGTTTGTATATAGCGTTTTTCAGTTCCCATTCGCCGTGTTTTTTAATAAAATACAATTAAATTGTCCACCCTGGAATCATTTTTTGCTTTCGATTATGACGGCTTAATGCTTGCCGTTGTCTTCACTAGTCAGAATATCCCCAGGGTCATGGATTTTGGAGGATAAACAAGTCTCCAGCCTCTATGTCAAAGTGCACTTCCTGGCGTAGTGGTGAGTGATTTGGACACTTCATTCTTCCTTATAATCGGCGACGGATCATCCGCTTACAATGACCATAAGTCGAGAAGTAGTTATGTGCCAATTAACGCCCAGCCATGTCGTAGGTCTGGCTTCATTTTTCCAGAAGAGGAGGAAAAGTAGCCAGGTGGCGGACCGCAGTGAGGAGATATGATCAAGCGTTATTGACCTCCCACTTCTGCAACTCCTAAGGGGCCACTGTTCGCGGAGGTAACCTCAATGGAAACAGACGACCCCTTTTAGGATGCAGCCGTGATCGGAAAAAAGCTGCATATTACTTAACCTCGCTTGACATTTTTCCCCACCCAGCATTCCAATGTTGATATTAGTCTAGGCACCTACTGGCCTCGCATTTCTCGGTTCACTGCCCTTGTGTGAGTTAATGAAGCTTGATTTCTCTTTTCTCTTTGGCTTGTGTTCGTGTCATCTTTTTCTTGTCGCAGATATCAGATACTTTTCCTATTGTGCTGATAGTCTTACAGACGTTCTGCCTTCTTCTTCTTATTTGACAGTTTGTCGGCTTAGGCCGAGACCTTGCAACTTCGGAAAATTGCTTTTCTGCTTTAGAAGTTGCGCCAGTTGCACAAACCGACCGCTGACAGGTCCTTCTGCAGTTCATCCTTCCATTTCATTCGTGAGTGCCACCCTCTCTTTCGTTGTCCACCATGGGCAAAAGACTTCATCGTTCTCTTCAATGTAAGTAATTCAAGCTACCGTCACGAGGTACGAAATCCGTAATTTTCTTGCAATTTTTTTTTGAGCTGTACTCTCACGCACTAACTAATGGCAGAGTTAGGTTGCCTTGCTTCGACACTGACTTTTTCAAGTACAATGCCTTTAGCATGGAATGTTCCTCCTTCTAGCCTTCCATCTGGTACCAAAATGGACCTTCTTGTAAGCCTTATCATCCCAACGTTGATCACGGCGATGGTTCACATGCTTCCTGGCTGTGCGGAGACCTCTTGGCTTGCCCACAATTTCCAAACTTTCTCAAGCGGAAAAGCGGAAAAAAGCCCCCAAAGGCTTCTCATCTTTGTTCGGACATCCCTGCACCTGGATTGAACAATAAAAAAAAAATATTGGAATATTGTGCCGTTTTGGCTGTTAAATAAATGACTATAAGCAACCTTAGGGTCAAGGAGCAGGAACGATATTTTCAGGGATGGTAATCGAAAGTTCAAGCCTTAAATTAAGCTCAAATGGAAGGTTCTATCACCAAAATCAATTTTTGCTGTTCAATAAATGACTTATAAGTGACTATCTGGCCAAGGTGCAGGGATGATATTTTCAGTCCAGAGTTCTGCCTTGAATCTAAGCACATTTTGTCTCTTTGACCCTTTGTTTTATTTAAAATCTCGAGCTGATGAAAACGTTATACTTACGGATTCGTAATCAGCATACAAAAGTGTATCAAAAATAGCTTCAACATTTGACGCTACAAATTTTTTTCCCCACTTTTGTTGGTCTATGTTATTATTAATCTATTTCGTTTTAGAAATTTGTATCGTCAGAAATATTGCAAAACATCCAGTTCATTTGCTTAGCTATAACAACGATCAATGCCGACTATTTTAATTGCTAGCTAATTTAATTGCGGCTACTCTTCAATGGCAAGGTAATTATAAAAATCGCTGAAGAGGAACATAGAAATAGTACACATGTGTGCACATTAGACCGCCTTAGGCTCCATACAAAGTCTACACTTTGTGCTCTTTCCTCAAGAAAATTATAAAGTTTGATTAGCTGAAGGACGTCCACCAATATATTTTAGCTCAACTCATTGTTCATTCGTGAGGTAAGCTTACGCTGAACACATCTCTTCAAATCTCATTTACTGAAAAGATCTTTTTTGTTTTTAAATTTTTTTTCTATAAAACGGCAGGATTTTTTGAAAGTAACTCCTTTGCATCGGGCCACGAAACAACAAAGTATACATATTTTCAACGACGCAAAACATCCTTCGCAATAGGCGACGGTATGGGCGGTATAAAATTATTTGAAATTTTTTTTTTTTTAACACAGAATATTTACCACGTAAGGCTAAATGTACACACATGTGTATAATCATAAGTACGTGATAAAGTAGAGTAGAGAAGTAAAATTTATCTCCTACCTCGTTATTGCTTGCTAATCAGATACGTGATTGTCCATAATTGTTTCGACAAATAAATTTAGGGTGCTAATGTTGCCACAGCGCAATGCTAAATCAAATGCTTCAGCTCGAATATTGAATTTTTCAACTAGTTGGCGCGTAGAGTATCGGCATACATAAGTGTAACGAAAGGCATGTGACACTTTGCTGTGATAATATTAAATAAATATTTTGTATCGAATCGTGATATACATATGTATGTATACCTTCAAAATACATAAATGTCTGTAGTACACATACATAGGTTAAGTACACGCAGCCTAGATTGGTTAATCGAATGCATTCTACTTTAATTCCACGCGTACTAATTGCGACTGCAACTAGCATATAGACATGCACTTATACACATACTAGCCGGCCTCGTATGCGCGAGGCTTTGCCACGCGCTGAATGTGTAGATATTAAATAAGGTGTGATTGACAACTAAACAGGTTGCAACCCTGCAAAAACACATAACATATAATTTCGAATCTGAATGCCAAGCCCTTTCATTTGACACCTTATTTCTTGTAATCTAACGAACAGCCCACATTTTTTAATTTTTCGCACAGGTTGCAGCCCCCTTCGAAAAATAAAAGCTTACTGCTAGTTAATCTGAAGACCAAGCCTTTTCATTTGACACCTTATTTCTTGTAATCTAACGAACAGCCCACATTTTTTAATTTTTCGCACAGGTTGCAGCCCCCTTCGAAAAATAAAAGCTTACTGCTAGTTAATCTGAAGACCAAGCCTTTTCATTTGACACCTAATTTTTTAAATTGAATTAACTGTGCAAATCTAATGTCATTCACAAAAAATGCCTTTGCGTATTATACATACATAGTTTTTAAATAGGTGGCAACCCCACTTTTACAAAAAATAAAAACTTATTTCACATGCAGAGACCATATCCTTTCACTTGGTACCTCAGTTTTTAGTCCAACAAACGGCGAAAATTTTAAAATTTCTAAAAAGTGGCAACCCTACTCAAAAAGCAATACATTATTGTACATCTAAACGCCGAGCCCTTTTATTTGACATCTCATTTCTTGTAATCCAATGAACAGTGCGGATCATATAATATTTTAGACAGGTGGCAAGCCTATAGGAATTTAAAGTACTAATTAAAGTACTTTAAAGTAAGTAGTTTTTGAGACTAGCGTGTACAAAGAATCTTGACTTTCTTTTAAACTATTTATAGAAGATAGTAATTTTTAAATAGGTGGCAACCCTACGCAAAAAATTAAAATTTTTGTACATGCGAAGGCCATGCCCTTTCATTTGGTATTCCATTTTGTAATCCAACGAACGATGAAAATCGTTTTACTTGTTATTAGGTGGCAACCCTACTCAGAAAAATAATCCATTATTGCACATTTAGAAGCCAAGGTTTTACGTTTGACTGCGACGGTGCAAAACTGATGCCCACGCTTACTATGATTGTATATAGTAATTTTATCAACAGGTGGCAACCCTATTAAAAAAAAATAAAACATTTGCACTTTTCCAGAGGCTCATCCCTTTCATTTGACGCCTCAACTTTTGTAATCTAGCGAACGGTGCGGATCTTATAGTTTTTTAGACAGGTGGCAATCCTATTAAAATTCTAAATGAAAAAGGTCACTCTCCTTTCGACAAAAAGTATATTGGAGAAAATCTCGTAAAAATCCGTTCAATAGTTTCGAACCTGCCTCTCTGAGTCTTAAGGCTGCAAAAATGGCTATCTCCCGAAAAATTACGTCAAGCTGAGGCAGATGTAGAATAGCATTCAGAACTTCCATTGGTGAAGAGCATAGAACTCCGTTTACACCAAACCCCGCACTCACTCCTTTGTACGATTTGGTGTTGTTTAAGCCCCATTGATTTCTTAGGGGTAAGCGCCAGACTAGGTCTCCGTAGTGTAAAATCGGACGCTTAAAAGCGTGTAGATCTAGTTAATTATCTTAGTTGAGAAACTCTATTATACACTTTACAGATAAAGAGCGCGGTTGTGGCTTTACTAATTGCTAAAAAAGACTTGCTCATATTTAGCTGGGTCCACATCAAGTTCACAGCGCAGCAAGAGCGGCTTTCATGAGATCGCATGAGAGAGTTTCCCCTTTACGCTTAAGCCAGTGCCTTGGTATGTGCATAGCGACAAAACGATACTAGTAAATACCAGTACATACTCGATACTTTTCGTCCGATACCAAGTAATTATTATCGTGAATAGTTAAAAAATTTTGGTACTATCATCTCATTAACATATTGCTTACAGTGAAAAGTTGCTAAGTCCACTTTTTGTGATAACTCATATTTGGATATAGAAAGCAAGGTAAATTAAAAACTTAACGCCTCCAAAGGATTAACTGACGTGTTTGTTTTATTTCTTTCCGATTATGTTCAATTAAAGGCAAATTTACTAAGTCCAGGCACAGAAAAATCGATAAGCTGACAAGTAATTCGAAATCTTTTAATTTGCAACGGAACCTTATGCAACATTCTTGAAGGAAATGTTTTGAAAAGCTTTTTTTTTTCCTCCCCTGTAAATTCTCTACAAATGGACAAATACGTAGATAGATACATACATAAAAAATAAGCAAATTCTGTGGACTTAAAAAAAAAAAAAAAATTTCCTGTTTTTTGGAGGCCTAGGATGGCAAAACATGTTTTAAAACATAAAGTTTTTCTTAAAAAGACTATATAAGTACCATTCGTCTAAAATCAAAAATGATAGTCACATAAGCTACTTTTTTATACAATTCTTATACACGTAGGTACAAATATCGATATAAGTAGGTATCGATGCTACTTCCAAGTACAGATATCGATACTTCCATGGTATCGTTTTATCCCTAAATATGGGCACCGCCTTGCCGCGGGCAAAGCTCCTTTAAACTTTATATACATTTTGTATAGGCGTGAGCACAGTAAAAGCTCGCTCTGTCCATCGCTGCTTTATACCCTTCTACCTCCAAGCACCATCCCAGTGGGAAAATGTAATGTATAGTAATCGAAAAAATAAAATACATTTTTTCATTTAAAAGGAATGTAATCAGAGCAAATCGCTGATTGACAATGAATGTATTTGTAATAAAATAACAAATACGATGTCGTAAACCTTTTGTTTGACACAATTATTATTTTGGTTTAACAAAATTTGACTTTACCAACAGGTGGCAACCCTCTTTGTAATATTTGCAAGCTAAAACTTTCTTAAACCTCTTTCGTCTGATATCTTTCTATTTCAATTACCTAATTCCTTTAATTGAAATGGAATTTAATTTTTTTAACTGGTGGCAACCCTCTACATGTAATTAAGAAATAAGCCCTTTTCCTACACATTTCGATTGACATCCGTCTCTTAATACTTAATTTAATTCATTAAAAAATGTGAATTAAATTTTTTAGCAGGTGGCAACTCTTCAAAAAAATAAACCTCTATTGTTCACAAGTCAAGCGTTTTAATCTAACACTTCATTTTTGAAAATAGAACGAATCGTGCAGATCTAATGGCACTGACAAAAAATGAAAAAAATTATTTTATGCATTAGCGAAAAACGCATTACTTCGAAAGGTGCAAAAAATTAGCAGGTTTTTATTTCTTCTTACGAAAGCTAAACACCCGTACTATTTAATGAAGTAATACATATTTCTACATATATTTTTTATTCCTTACACTTAAATTTAACAATTTTTTTAAATTTTAATAAAAAAAATTATTTTTTCTGTATTTTTTTAAATTACCGTTATATGGAATGTGGGCGTGGTTATTGTCCGATTTTAAAAATTTTCAGTCATTTGATATGTTGTACCAAGGCCAACAACTGTGCCAGGTTTGGAAGAAATTGGGGCAGCGGTTACCAAGATATACACATGTAACCATAAGTGGGCGTGGCTACGCCGATTTTCCAAAAATTTACAATATTCTTATTTTTCGTCTAAAACTTATTGTAAATATCATTTTTGAGTGAATTAGCTTCAGTAGTTACTAAAATATCACAGTTTTCGTATTTTTGAAAATTACCGTTATGTGGGAGGTAGGCGTTGTTATTGTCCGATTTTGCCCATTTTCAATACCATCCGTCCTACGTCTGAAAGAAGTGCACATACCTAGTTTCGTTAGCATATCTCAATTTTTACTCGAGTTATCGTGTGCACAGACGGACGGACGGACGGACGGACAGACAGTCACCGCTTAATCGATTTCTCTTTTCATTCTGATCATTTATGTATACATTTGTCTATATCTATCTCGATTCGTTTTGCCTGTTACAAACAACCGTTATGTGAACAAAGTTATAATACCCTTGTGCACAAGTGCGCTCGGGTATAAAAATTTACCATTCCGAAAATGCCAGCAGGTACGAATATCCACTTGTTTGGCTTGCTTGGAATAGCGCTGAGCAACTTCACAACATTTCATTGCTTACATATGTAAGATTAATTCAATCACCCTGTATTACTGTTGTGTAGAAAAATAAGCTCATTTCAAAAGTTGGCACATAAATGTTGGCATTTCCATACATACTTACACAAGCATGCCCAGTCATGCAAACACTGCTCGTTGGCATATAACCATTAAATTGGTTAATACAATTAATGTCTTGCCGGTAATGAGTATACAAATATTTGCTTGTCCGATTACCAATTGTCAATCAACAATTTAAAAAGCGAAATAAAGATGGTGAAGTGGCATAAGGGATCGCAGCTTGCAAGTAAAATTACAGTTATGACGTGCTTTATTACCACAAGTCGAGCTGGAAAATTGCGGCGAACAATGGAAATTTTTCAAATTAAATTGCAATTAAAAAAAATTGCAAATTATGAATTATTTTGAAGTATTTTTATTTTTTATTCTTTCGCTTGCAATTGTAAAATGATTGGAGTCGCGCACATGAAGTTCGTCACGAATTTTTTCAACCGTTACCGGTTATTTTCCTGTTCAGTATTTAGTATTTTATTTTCAGTCAAATTGAAGTGTTTTTCGTCTGGCATAGTTAGTGGCTGGAGATGATTGTTAAAGTGTTGCTGCTGCGCAGAAGATGAGCTTAAATAAATTTACATATGTACATGCCTACATACCCTGCAAACCAAAGTTCCCGAAATCTTAACGAAATCTTTAGGAGTATCTGATTTCTGTAACGACTTTTTTCCGAATCTTCAAAGAAAATTATATGAAGTGGTTGACACGAACTCGTAAAGAAATTTCTGTACGAAAAATAAAGAAAATTCTGAAAAAAGTCTTCAAGAAATTCTTCACATAGCAGCATTATTTTCATTTCTTCACCGATTTTCTTCCGAAATTTCGTAAAAGAATGGAAGTGTGCGTAATTTATTTCATTTTAGAAAATTCGGAAAAAAATCGGATGGGATCTTTCCGAATTCGTTAAAATTTCTTTACGATTCAGAATACTCTGAAAAAATGGTTTGCAGGGTACACACCGTGTATGTATTTGCATAAGTATTGTGTCGCCAAAAAAAAAAAAAAAACAAAAATAAATAAAAATAAAATAAAACATATGGCAAGCGGGTTTTTTCTTCACCGACTCAGAATCTTCTACAACTCTGTTTCGAGTATGCAGTCGGCGAATGTATAATTATATATAAATTAGTAGTGATGATAATCCCGAAATTTCGTAAACATACTAAATGGCGAGCTACTAGCTCAAAAGCAGCGGGCAATGCTTTCCGCTGTTTTTTTTTTTAAAACATTTTGATGATCTTTTTCTTCTTGGTTTGGTTTTTTTCTTACGGAGAGGAAGCATCGAAAGCCAAACCCCAAACCTCTAACTGGGTGAGTTTAACCCGAACTAAACCTCCTAGCGTT